AAAAAAAAAAAAAAAAAAAAAAAGACGACAGAATGTTACTCTTTGAGGTCATTTTTAGTACTGATTATTTCTTGATTTAGACAACACTCACAAAACAAAGTGGCATTGTATGTTTGGTAGGACAGAAATCATTTTCCCGAAAACATTTTCGGAAAATGACTTATTTTTAGGAAAAAAATATTTTTCCGTGTTAGATTGGAGAATGGAATATATTTTTTGGAAAAAAATATTTATTAAAGAATGATACTAACTTTAGCAAACCGGAGAGTGTCTTGATAAAAAGATTGAGTATTTAAGGTCGATACTAACATCTAACTATTGGTTAAAGCACTAATATGAAGTTCAAATTTTGAGAGAATTGTGAAGAAAAATGATTCCCCCTAAAAAGTGGAGAAGTTATTTGCCCCATTTTGATGAAAAGAAATATTTTCTAACAACCAAATACCAGAAAATGACTTATTTCCTGGAGAACATTTTTCATATTTTGTTTTTAGTTTTTTTTGGGCCATATCAAGTAGTTATTGCTTCATGGTTATACTGACCTTAGTTTCAAGAGAAATCTGCAGCATAGAATTTCCATTGAGTGAAAAGTTGGAATATACAATTTCAACACCTTCCTCATGTAATAATTGAATGACGTTATAAAATGTAGCTAAATTATCAAGGCCAGTGATCAAAACGACGAACATAGTTGGACTCATTTCGTGAAATTCAATATGAGGGATCAATGATTTGGTGCTTGAGCTGGGCTCAGAATTAGTTGCATTGAACAATTGAGGCCTCTTTCTGCTAATCCTTAATTCTTCCATGTATTTCTTCTTCTTCTTCAATTTGGTTTCTAAGCTTTTTATGTAGTTTGTTGCTGTATCTAATTGATCAGGCAGTGTCAATGTTTCCTGCAGCATTCAACGCAAATGATGTATTAGCATTCTAATACATTTGAGTAGAACCTAATTTGTGAATGCAAAGTACAATTGCAGATACTCCATCCGTTCCAATTTATGCGAACCTATTTCCTTTTTGGTCCATTCCAAAAATAATGACCTCTTTTTAAATTTGGAAACAATTTAGCTTAAACTTCCAATTTTATCCTTAATGAGAATCTTTTATAACCACACAAATATTCTGGACCCTTTTTGACTTGTTTAGGACTACAAATTTTAAAAATCTTCATTTTTTCTAAAATCCGTGCCCAGTCAAACAGGTTCACATAAATTGGAACGGAGAGAGTAATATTTTTTGGTAGTGGTTTCAAGCTTAAATGAAATTTTTGTTAGAAAATGTTCAACTATATATATATAGTTTAAGCCGAAAGCATTGAATGCAACTACACTTAGAACTGGGGATGGGGTAAAAGTATGCTCGGGGTTCGGGGAAAGGCCGGATCACAATGGTTTATTGTATGTGTATTTTTGTAATAGATTGTTTCCACAGTTCGAATCAGTAACCTCTTGGTCACATGACAACAACTTTATCACTTACGCAAGGAGGAGAAAAAGGAGAAAGAACGTACCTTAGAGGCATGATTAGGGAGCAGGGAATAAAGCTGATTGTAGAGGTTCTTCATATTGTTCCTTCTATTCTTCTCCACATATTTTCTTTCCAATTTTGGAGCTGAATTAGATCTCAGGCCACTTACCATTTTTTCTGATGACCAGTAGTACTATTTTTAGAAACTTTTCAGTTTTGGTCTCTAAGGTAAAAGGACCAAATATTCCGGTAAAGAAAAAAACAACCAACTTTGGTCGCCTTATTATTTTAGTAATATAAATTTGGCGACCAAAGTTGGGCTCCACAGGTAAATTACGTTTTTATTTATTTATTATTAATAAAAAAAAAGCGACCAACTTTGGTCTAAAAAGAAAATATTATTTTTTTAAATCTGGATATTAGAGACCAAAGTTGGTCGCTTTAGTATTAATTTTTCTATTTTTTTTTAGATAAGCGACCAAAGTTGGTCGCAAAATGCAAAAATTAATTATTTTTTAATTGTAGGCGACCAACGTTGGTCGCTATATTTCCAGAAATTATTTTTTTAAATGAAATAGCGACCAACTTTGGTCGCTTTTTGAGAAATCTGGGTTCAATGGCGACCAAGGTTGGTCGCCATTTACCAGAAATTTGTTTTTTTTTTCCAGTGAAAAGCGACCAACTAGCGACCAAAGTTGGTCGCTTTTCTTGGTATATTTTTGGCAGAAAATGCCTGTATTGGCAGCTACACCACCTGTCAGCTTACCAAAAATCCTAAATAGGCATTTTATGCCAACAACAACAACAATAAGCAACAACAACAACAACAACATTAAAACTAACAAACTATAAAGTTTAATAGAAGTAACACATTAAGCTAACCAAACTAAGTTAATTGTTATTACAAGTCCATTCGAAAATCGATTGTATTTGTCTAGTTGAAAGTGTATAAAAGTCAAGGATTGTTTTGTACATCATTATCATCACCGTCTGATGAACTTTCACCAAGACGGTATCCAGAAGGGTGTACTTGTCTAGGATGGGAAGAACAATCACAGGGAGGACGGGAGGAATGAGCACGGGGAAGGCGAGCCTCTGGCGATGAGTCACGAGACTAGGGAATCGAAAAACTGCCAGAAGCTAGGAGAGATTTGATCTGCTCTTGCATGCCAATGTACTGAGCATCTCTAATCTTTTCTCTCTCTTTGGCGGCTTCTAGCCCGGATGTGAGCTTTATCGCAGTCTCTCGCATAGAGGAGAGGCTCTCCCCATCAAGTTGCTCGACTTGCAAGAAAGTCCCTATTCCTTGCATTCCACACTTACAGCGATGAAATTTCTTAGTAGGAAACCCGTATACCTTCCCCCATTTTGGACCCCCAACAGCCTGCATCCAGATTCTTTCAGCATCCTCGTCCGAAGGTTGGATTGGGTCGCCCGACTCACTAGGTGGCTGACTGCGTATGAATTCCTCCACTTCAGCTGTGAAGCGACCCTATAAGAAAAATTACATTGAATTAGTATTTCAAAATTTATATAAAAGTAAATCAAAATACTTAATGAAAAGTGAAAACTTACATGTACAGTCGAGGCTCGGCCCTCGACCCACCTTTCTTGATCCGTCTCTTTCTTCTTCTTTACAATATGAGTCTCCTTGAATAGCTCATCTTGGTTCATCGGACGCCCCAACTTCTTCTCCTGAAAACTCATAAATTTTAGTTAATAAACAGAATAGATATACTTTGAAAATTAAAATAAATTAAGCAATTACGAACCATTCTTCTCTTTATTGTCCCTAGGCTGATCGCACCTCCAGTGTGCAAGGATCCTCCCTTCTCAGATGCACGAGCTTTCTTTCCTTTTTCGCTCTTCTCTAAGAACTCTGCGGTAAGCCATTGCCTTTGCAAATCCTCCCATAAATTCTGAAGCAACTAGCCAGGCTTCTGGTTCAACTTTCTAGCTTTGGAGAAACAATGCGACAACCGCTTGCGAGCTTTGAGATGAAAATTTGCAGCCACATCCGCGCTATAGAGGTGTTCCCATACACACTTGCTCTGTATTTCAAAAGTTAAGTATTATATGGAAATATCATAAATTCTATATTCGATATATTATACTTAGCTTTTGTTAGCTAATAATTATTTAAAAGTTAAGTGCATTAACTACTTATAATATAGTATATAGTATATTAGTGCATTAGCTAATATATATATTTATAAGCTTTTATCGAATATATATAAAAGCTATATTCGATATAATATTAGCTAATGCACTAATATTTATATATATATATATATAAGCTATATTCTATAATACATATTTAGATGGAAATATCATAAATATAAATAATTGTACTGCTTAAAAGAACATTTATACCTTAAAGTCATTGAAAATTTGCTCCTTCAGCGCGAATGAGAAATCACTCCAAGACGCATAAGGGCCGTCATAAAGCTTTCTGGTGGCTTTGGTGATAATCCTTGTAGTAATATTACTAGGGATGAACCTGCAATTTAATAAAAAAAATACATTAATATCTTAGTAAAACTGTACAAAACAATAAATGTAAAAATAATAAATAACTCTTACACATCACCCTTAGGAACTATGATGATCCTTCCATACTGATCATAATGCACCTCCTCGTCATCATCAGCATCACCATATGAAGCATGTATATCAGAGGCATGTGTGGAAGGTGTAGGGGGGTCAGAGCTAGTATCTCGCAGTCGAAGGCCTGAAATAGGTGGAGTTTCAGATGAAGATGGCTGCGAGCCCTGTGACTGCGACATAGTTGTATGGCCCGCAAGTGGACATGACACTGATAGTTGTGACCTGAGTGGCTGTGACACTGATGCCTGTGATCCATGTGGATGTGACATGGATTGATGTGATCCATGCGATGCAGATGGCTGCGATTCACGTGGTCGTGTGGCAGCTGGACTGTATGTCGGGCGTACAGTCCTATGGCCCTATGACGAAAGACCTGGTGTGTGCACGAAGGTGTAGGGCTGGTGATGCTGTGGCAGCTCAGAATAGCCATGGGGTGGAGTCAAAGTCATGGGCATAGGCATAGGCATCTCTGAAGAGGCAGAAAAAGATGGAGGATTATCTTCTACCCTCCTCTTTGGTTTCTTAGCCTTTTCTCAACCCTTGCCTGTCATCTGCATAATAATACATATTTAGATTGAAACATATAAAGAAACTAGCTATAAATGAGAGTTATTAACGAAACCAACTTTTTAAAGCTCATCGACGTATAGTTCCTCGTCCGAGAATTCTTCTTCCTCACTAGTTTGAGCTTCATCAGTTGATTCTTCTTCCTCGTTTTCTATAATTCTTACTTCATTTATATAAACTTCTTCCAATATGTGTTCAGGATGTTCCAAATCATTTTCTAAAACTTCGTCCACTATTTGGTCAACACTGGAGATACCGTTTTGATATGTAACATCTAACACATTCTCGACTTCCACCCTACCCACAGGCTTAGTTTTTATTACAACCCACCAATCGGACTTATTCCGCCGCAATGGATAAGGAGCATAATACACTTGCCTAATATTATATGCAATTATTAAAGGATCATACTCCCTCGTATGATTAACCTCAATTATGTTGTATTGATTGTGTACTCTTGTACCTCTTGTTGGATGTGGGTCAAACACTTGCATCTAAAGAGTATCAATTTCTTATATGGCCAACCTATATATTCTAGTTCTATTATTTCTTTGAGTACACCATAATAATCAATATCTCCATCTTGGTTGCCATCACCACCTTGAACCCACACCCCACTGTTGTTGTTATTTTTATTTTTAGAGCAATCCTCTGTATGAAACTTATAACCATTCACAACGTACTTAGACATTATTGTGACCTCAACCCCAAGTCCCCAAGATATATCTTTCAAAAATTGATTTACACCATTATTTGGATCATTTACCTACATATT